GAGTGCTTTAACCACTGAGCATTACATCCCCAGTCCTTTTGATTTTTTGAGACAGTGTCTCATGAAGATGCAGAGAATCTAGATGCATTTTGAATTGTGAGCCATGCAAATGAATAAATAACCTGTCTGAAAATTATCTAAACAAAAATTATTAAATTAAAAAATCGTAGTGGGGTGTGGTAGCAAGCCCACTCTTATAATCCCAGCTACTGTAGATTGAGGTGGGAGGATTGCAAGTTCAAGGCCCTGGACAATTTAGCAAGACCCTGTCTCTCTAAAAAAAAAAAAAATCCCCAGTTATGGAAAACAAAAATTGTAAAGACTTTGTAATTAAGATCACTTAATTGTGTGCTGAGTAGGATTTCCTGGGGAGAAAGAGACTGAGACCTTGAAAACTTCAGAACTGGGCATTAATGCAAGGGGAGAGATGGAGGGAATTTGGGCCAGTTTAGGTCAGCGCAGGGGAGGGGTCTCTAACAGTGGATATGGGCACAGGGCCCAATTTATGATCTTTCCTGGGACAAAAATATGGCTTTCTGATTTTTTTTAAAGAGATTAAAAATTCCAAGTGAACAAGTGTTTAATTAAATATCTACAGAGTGAAATTTGGGCCCACCATCCAATTGCTACATAATTCATAAAGTAAACTATATTCGATGTGAGTGTAGGTTTGATGTGTTGTGAGCAGGAATGCCCAAAGAAGGGTGCTAAGATCTGCCTCCCATCCATACTCCGAGGACTAAAGTTAGACTGCAGGGAGGCTTAGAATCACATCCTGTACCAGGAGCAAGTTTCTGGGGTCCCTCCCGCTCCAAGTGGGGAGTCTGAGCAGGGGCAAAATGAGAGCAGGTCTCATTCTTTCTGGCTCTTTCAGGGGATAGAGCTGTGGAGAGTCATTGGTGAGGTACCAGCAATGAAAGGGAACCTTGACTCCATGATGGCCAACCCCTGACTGGAGAGAGGAGGAAGCGGTGCCCAGAAAGGCCAGTCAATTGTAACACTGAGACTCATCCTGTCTCCTCTGCCTCCCAGATCTTGGTGTCCTCTACCTTCCTGCCTCTACCTTTTATACCTGAATCTCAAAGCCAGGAGAGGATCTCCTTAGCCTTCCTCAGAGATATGTCACTAGTTCTGGGCTCTAGATGGCAGGAATCAGGCTCTCCAGTCCCAAGCCTGCATATGGCTGCACCTCCTGGCCAGGGTAGTGGAGGGAAGGTTTTGGTCTAGACCTCTGGACATTTGCTAAGGCTCAAGGAACAGACTTCATTGCAGGCCTGTGGGCTGGCCTTTCCATCTCCCAGTTCCCTTGTTGCATCAGGCCTCATTCTCATCAATGCAGGAGAATCATCACCAGCTCATCCAGCCCCATGGTCCTGCTGTGCACAAAGGAATAGAGATCCCCAGAGTAGATTACATAAAAATTAAAAACTTATTGAAACAAACAAACAAAAAAAAAACAAAATAAAAACCCTTTGTATTAAGTTATAAGAAAAGTGACAGATGGGAGAAAATATCTACAACAGAAATAAAAGAGGAATACATATAGTATATAAATTAATAATGAAACGAAGAGTAGCCCAACAGGAGGCTGATGCCAGGGAAGCAGTTTTGCCTGATGAAAAGAGCTAGACAGGCCTGAGGGTCAGTGTCCTCTCTGGGGGAGATGCAGGACGAGCCCAATCCATCTCAGCTTCCTCTTTCAGGCTGAGGGACATGAGTACTGTCCATACCAATAAGCACAATGACACACGTGCGCTCACACACACACACACACACACACACACACACACACACACATACACACACTCATAAACAAAGCTAAGAAAAGTTTTCTTTAGAGCCCTTCTGTGAGTTTCAATCTCAAAAAGGGATCCTAAGGGAACCACGAACCCTCTAAGAAATCGTTGAGCTTAAGGCCTGGTGTGGACACTGTTGGTAACCTCCCTTCCTCCTTCCTAACAGAACTCTGGTTTTGTTCAGTCAGTCCCACACCCCAGGCCCAACAAAGCACTCCTGATTGGACCAGTGCAAGGGATTTTGAGAGGAGCAGAAACCTCTTAGAGGCCTTTAAATTTTCGTGGGAGATATTCTGGTTGCCATAAGGATAGGGCGCTGTGAATATTTGATGAGCACAAGTGGAGGCTAGAATTCCTGAGAGTCACATATAATGAAACTTTGACCTGAATCCAATGTTCCACAGGGCCGGTAATTTCAGTGACTTGGGAGACCGAGGCAGGAGGATCACAAGTTTGAGGTCAGCCTGGACAACTAGGGAGACCCTGCCTCAAAATAAAAATAAAAAGGACTGGAGACTGTAACTCAGTGGTGGAGCACCCCTGGGTTTGATCCCCACTACCACAAATATTCCACTGGATAGAAATATAAGTGAAAAGTCTGACCCTAGAATCTAACCTTGCTTTACATATTAACAGGAAGAGTTTTGTAAGTCTGCAATAATCCGAATATGTACTACTGCACAACACTATTGTGCTCACATTTTCTCCTGGGTAGTATCTTCCCAAGAGTTACCCTTTCAACACCACTTGTCACAGCCACCATGGCATTTTAGTCCCAAGAATTAGGCTTTTTAGTCCTAGGCCTGCCTATGGCTGCTCCTCCTGGCCAGGGTAGTGGAGAGGAGGTTTTGGTCTAGACCTCTGGACATTTGCTAAGGTTCAAGGAACAGACTTCACACAGGCCTGTGTCTCTGTCCATTACTGTCACATTTATGATTCAAGATTTTTGAAGCAGGTGAAAGCAGTTGATGGTTTCATTCTGTCTTCTAGAATACTTTATCTTGAAATGTATGTTATTTTATTATATTGTTATGTTATGCATTTCCCTTTTGCTTTTTTGTTTGTTTTTGAGATAGTATGTTGCTGGGCTGCCCAGGTTGACTAACTCTGTTGGGCTTAAGTTATACCCCTGCCTCAGCCTCCCAAGTAGCTGGAACCTCAGGCACATGCCACCACACCCAGCCTTGTTTTTCCTTTATAGTTTGGGCACTGTGTTGGTATTTTTGCAATTACATGTGTAAGTGGATTCTGTTTTCTACCATGTTTGTTAGGATAGCAATATTTATACCTGATGGGATTGAGAATGACCAACCTGAGCCAGGGGGCCGATGATGTTCCCCTGTCCGTGATCATCATCACTCTTTCGCGTGAACACAGAAGCAATGGTATGGCCCTGATGGCCACTAGAAGCCATTTTGTGATCATGAGGGAAATACTCCAAAGGATAAAGCTAACGTGAAGGGTGGAAATGGAGGATCTGGGTCTTTGGTGACAACATTGAGACTTGATGCTATGGGGTCCAGGGATGGCCTTCCAGGGAAGGCAGTGGCAGCCAACTGTTAGGTACAATAGGCTGAGTGGTCTAGGTTACACAGCACTAAAATCTCAATTTCCCTTCAAAAAGAGGAAACCCTGGGGGGCAAGAATAGACATTCCTCTTCATGCCCTGGGCTGTTCATGTTTCTGATCCTTTGTAGGCCCCCAGAAGCCGATCTCAGAGGGGATAGCAGCAGCTACAGAATTCTTCCTGCTGCAGGTTTCTCTCCTCCTCTGAGAAACGTTCTTGGGCCTCAAAGAGGTAGCAGAATGGCTGAATTTTGGTCTCTATAAGAGTTGGGGTTGAGTCTCCCCTGGGTAAACTGGGAGTGGTCCTCAGATCCAAGCCACAGAAACACCAGCTGGGAAGAATCACACCTGTCATGCACATCTGGAAAGGACTGGAGAATTATCCAGTCCAGTCGCCTTGTGTCTCAGTCAGGATAGTCTGTGTTTTACTACATGACAGTTCCTCAAATCTCAGTGGCTTAAAGCAGCAACATTCAGTTCTCACTTGTGTTGATGTGCCTGTGCAGATTGGCAAGGTGCCTCTGCTCATCAGAGTCACTCAGGGATGAGGCTGCTGGAGCTCCATATTGACCCATACTCCACACAATTTCTGGTGAACAGAAATGAGAATATGGTACACCTCAAACTAACTGTCCCTAAGGCTTCTGCTAGAAAATGTCATGTATCTCTTCCACTCACATTTCATTGACCAATACAAGTCACATGGCCATGCCTGAATTCACCAGGGTTGGGGTGTATGGCCCCTTCTGCCAGGAGCATCAGCAAAGGAAAGACACTATATATGGGGACAACATTAAAGTCTCCTATACCTGATTAGTAGTCTCTGATTCTCTATGGGTGATCAGAGGTACTTTTCCATGAGAACATATCTGATTGTGCTGGCCTCCATGTAATGGGTCATCAGGAGAACCCTATCCCTGAATAAAGGAGGTTCCACCCCTTAGCAAGGCCATCAAACCATTCATGGTGGTCCCTGTTCACTTCTCCAATTCTTCTCCCTACATCTCCTGATTATCCATTTATCCATAACCGTGTGCCAAATGCTTCTCTATACTGATCTTTATATCCAATATCAGTCATAAAAGGATATATACTCCTGTGAGCCCTTTAAGGGCTAGGACTATCTCTTGTTCATACCAAAGACTTCCAGCTGCTGCAGTCTGCCAGGCATTAAAAAAGGAATAGACAGCTCTATACACACTGATATGGGACCAACTCCAAAATATTCTATAAAATTTTAAAATCCACTATAGTACAGGGTGAATTGTGCACTAACAGTGTTGCACAAGACAGATATGTGGGAAAACTCCATGTACTCGTACCCACATAGAATATCTGAACAGATACAAGAGAAACTGACATTAATGGTTGCCTCTGTGGTGGGGAACCAAGAGAGGGGGGACTCAACTAGGGAACTTGCCTTTCCTATCTACTCTTTGTTCAGTTTGAATATTTTACAGTGTGCTTTAAAAAAAAAAAAGGCAAGAAGAAATGGTAACATCCTGTAAAGGCACTCAAGATATCTTGTTATCTTGAAATGATAAATTCATGTTTCAAAATTTAGATACAATATGAGCTCTATTTTTATAGAGAAAAATGTATAATATATCTCAATATATAGAAAGATGCTGCATTAGGTGCTATTTTAACTGGGTTTTATTTGACATTCTCCTGATAAAAATGCAAACAGTAGAAAAGGGCATAAATGAGAAGCTGTACATCCCCCTTTCCCCTCTCTCAATCCAGTTGACTGATCAGTTTATCACACTGAAAATGTTAACGATCATTATGTCTGACTGCAGGGGATATTTTCTTTTTGAATTTTTCCAAAATTTCTATTTTTTTTCTCAACAAGCATATATTACTATGGAAATAAGAAAAAATATAGATGTTTTAAAGTGCTGTGAATTAGGAGAGGCCTTGAGTCTTCTCCCTCCCTTCCCCCAACTCAGAAAAAAACAGACTTCAGGCACACACATCTCCCTTTCTTCCCATGAAATTCCCTTCACCCCACTCAGTTTAGGAAACAGAATGAAAAAAAAAAAAAAGCAACATTTCTAAATTCCAGAAAAAGCCTCTGGTTCTGTTTTGAACAAGACCCACCCCTTCCTCACCTCCTGCTCTGGTCTCATTGCCTCCACCCTCCTTCTCAAAGCCTCTGCTCACTAAGCCTCCTTTCAGATGCAGAAATAATGCCACAGAGAAGAAACCTGTTGCCTTGCTAATTCTTCAGAGGAATTAAACCCAGGAATCCTCCTCTGTCTTCTCAAACAGGGACTATCCGGAAATGGATCTGAAATACAGTAAAGGGAGAAAAGGAAGCAACCTGGAGAAAAAAAAAATTCCTCTTTCTAGATCTTAGGTTAAAAAACGACTGGCCTCGTTAAAACCGCACCTTAATGGGGCTCCTTTCCAGCCTAATTGTCACCATGGCAATGACCCCTAGTGGCCATCTTTAATTAACTTGGAATCAGAGTCACCAAATGAGCTCCTCCAGTAAATTGCTCACCAACCCAGGCAGTCACGCGGCCCCTCCTCAGTCCTCTGCCCTCTTTCTTCCAGCACTGATGATGGGGCAGAAAATTCTCAGCCCCAGATTTCGTCTCTACCTTCTGGATTTGTCTGTCATAGTCAAGAGAGGGTCTCAGACCTATGGAAATAATGAGAATGGCTATGGTGTTAAGCATTTTATATGCATCATCTGATTTAGTCGTCAGAGTAGTTGTGGGCAGGGTGCACTATTATTGTCCATCACCTTTATCAACTGAGGAAACTGAGGCTCAAAGAAGCTAAGTCAATAAGCGGCAGAGCTGGGATTTAAAAGCAGGCACAGTGGCTTCAGAGCCAGTATTGTAATGACTCCGCTGAAGATGAAATCCACAGGGTTGCCTCTTTCTCTCGAGCAAAATAAAGACTTAGAGTTATTGCCAATATCTGCCACTTTTCAGCGGTGTGAATTTGGGACCACTTATTTCACATCTCTGGGCCTGTTTCCTCAGCTAGAACAGGCAGGATAATTAAAATGAACCCAAGGTATATGAGGGACCTGAACAGCCTCCTCAGTTCTGTTCAATAATGATTTTCAACTCCAGAAGCTTCCTGTTGTCTTCACCCTGGTGTGGTTTCAGAGGCAAGATGGCATGGAGGTGAAGAGATAAACAAGTGTGATCATCCATCTCTACAGGAGCTCATCCTAGACTCCACTATTTCTTTCACACCTACCTCTGCTCCCTCAGCAACCTTTAGCAGCTGTCTTCCAAATAGATTTGTTTTAAATCCATTCCATTCTGATAGGTGTTTAAGGTGGGAGAAGTAGATAGGTACTAGATCATTGAGAGGAAGAGAGGGTCTCTTGGCTGTAAAAAGAATTTAAACTTCATTATGAACCATACAGGAATCCATAGAAGGACTTTAAGTGTGATCAGATTTGCCTCTTGAAAAGATCACACTAGGGCTGGGGACGTAGCTCAAGTGGTAGAGTGCTTGCTTAGCATGTGCAAGGTCCCGGGTGGACAGTCCCCAGCGTTGGAAGAAAAAAAGAAAAGATTGGATTCTGAGTGGAGAATAGATTGAGAAGCGCGACTGGAAATGACAACCACTTAGGTGGCTATTGAGGTTTGGGGACAAGATGATGATGGCTTGAACTACTTTTCTTCCATAAGAAGCTGTCTCATAGGCAGAAAGGCTGGTCTGAGATGTGGGGCTGAGCAAACACCCCTCTGAAATTCAGCACCACTGGATGGACAGCTCTTGCCCCGCCTCTGAGAACCCTGCCCCTCGGCACCAAGAACTGGCGCAGCCAAACTAGGGGTTCATACCGCACCCAGCACCCCCGCAAGGGCTGGGAGCTTGGGAAAGGAGCCCTGGACTCCTTCCTTTAGAAATATTCCTTTGAAAACCTTTGTTTGCTACCCTCTAAGCTGGAGATAAAGCTGCCGCGCAGCCCCCAAAGACCGCGGTGCGCACTGAGGAGCCAGACACCTATGAACTTTAGGGCCACCGGTGGGAGAGGCTGCCCAAGAGCAAGGTCTCTGAACACAGTCTCCTTCACTCCAGATGCTGGAGTTTATTTCCCCGATTTTGAAGAATTAAAAACGAAGCTGATTCTGCCACGAATTGGGGGAAGGGAACTGTTCCAATCTAATCCCCAGGCATTTCTACGCAGCAGCCCCAGTCGCCTGCTGGGCGTGGTGTCTCTGCTGACAAAGCTCTGGAGAACTATGAAGCTTCTTTCTCTGAGAGTTGGACGGTGTGAATCATTCCAGATCCGATGTCCTCCCTCCCTTGGCAGATCTTCTCTGGGATGGGTCACAAGAGCCCAGCACTTTCTTCCTGGCCTCCCTGTGCAGCATCTCTAACCTAATCTAGTTTCCCTTGATTGGTGTGTGTGTGTGTGTGTGTGTGTGTGTGTGTGTGTGTGTGTGTGTGTGTGTTAATCTGGGACTCAGTAGGATTCCTTTTCCTGGAGTTGGGTGGGTGGCATCAGTGGGGATCTGCTGACTGAAGAGACCTTGTGATGCCTTCTCAGGGTTCTGAAGATATGGTCAGCAGAGTCAGGAAAGATGAGAGGGACCCAGATTTCTCTCTCAGAAATAACCTCCGGGTTTCCAGTCCCCAGAGAAGAACTTTCTTTCAGCTTTCCTGTGCAGAGGGAAAAGAGAGCAGAGAGTTAGACCCTGGTTTTAGTTAGGGAAATTTGAAAATCATAGCAGGAGCCCATCCTAGACCATGACCAGCTCCACAGTATTAAACCCTGCAGCGAACCGGACCTTTGCCTTCTCCACCAGTTTCTAGCTCCACGTGGGCATCAGCACCAGTCTAGTCCCTGCTCCTTCCCTTTCACGGGAGCCATCACCTTCTAGCAGCCCCCCTGCTGGGTCCCTGAAACAGGTCTGATCTCAACATTAGAATCACTCCACCCTTAAAGGACAATGAGGTGGATACAGATGTGAAGGAGTGCCTGGGAGCAGGTTTCTTGGTGTGAAGGCATGGCTAGATCTTTATTCTATTCGCAATTTTAATTCTCCTTAAACCCTAGCTCTTTCTTCTTTTCCTCACTCACTGGATGACCTTGGGTAAGTCACTTTTCACTTTGTTGCTCTCAGTCTCAGTTTCTCTGCCTATGAAATAGGGAAAATGTAGTTCTTTCCTGGGGCTACTGAAACGAAAAGTAATCCTTGGATCAGTCCCTGGAAAGTGGCCCTCTGTTTTAAAATGTGACTGCTCTCTTGCTGAAGGGGATATCTAAGGAGACCTCCCAGAAATAGGGAGACTTCCTCTCCCCCAATCAGCCTAAATCCTGGTATCTCTCTGGACCCCGGCAACCTCCCATTGAGACCTGAAGAAATATTTTCCAATTAGTAAAATGGAAAAATCTGTTTTACAGATGGGAAAAGTGAGGACTGAAATTCAACCTGGCTCTGTCCATGATCCCATTTGGGTTCCTTAAACCAAGACCCCAGGTGAAAACGACTTTATTCTTAGCTGGTTACTTTAGGAACCTCTCCTCCCTCCCTGGCCCGCAGCATTTGTCTGGGGGTCTAAGGAACAACAAAAAGTTTCCAGCCAGCTGCCCCAGAAACAAGAGTGTCCATTTCCCCATCATCAAGACTTTGGCTTCCAAATTGGTAAATCCGGGAGGATCAGACTCCTTAGAAGAACAAGATGATTAAATGAAACAAAAATCCATCATTCCCCCTCCCCCATCTCTCCGACCTGACAGACGTTCCCGGGGATTTACCGACAGCCTCTTTTAAAAAGTCCGCACCCCTCTGGCCCTTTGGCCCCTATGGTTTCAAGAAGTCCAATCCGCCTGCTCTAGGAGTGTCTGGGAGCACAGCAGTCAGGATCCTGAACCTGCTGGGGCAAAAGCCGGGGGCAGGACCGCCTGGACCCCCTCACCCGTGCTGGAGCAGACGGGTTGCGGGCTGGTCCCACCCTCTCCGGATCTCGCAGTCCAGCCGCACCCTCCCTGGCAGGACAAACCTGTCTGCTCTTGTCTCCAATGATGTTCAGTGGTTAAGCACCCAGGGTTTAGTCCCCAGTACCCAATCTCTTTTTGATTCTGGCGCTTTTAAAGCCAAGAAACAACTAGTTTTTAGTTAGCCTCAATTGTGGACTGTCGGGAGCTTTGGTATTTATTTATTTTTAGAGAGAGAGAGAGAGAGAGAG